GTTGATGAGCAGGTTCGAAAGCGCTCCGCCCCCAAAAGCGATCCGCCCACTAGTTTACTTGTTGATTTGGACGAGCTGCGTTGCCAGCAGCGGCGCAAATGGAGCATCTCGATTAAAGCGTGTTTGGCATGGTGCCATCAAACGCGTTGCGGTGAACTCGTTCATACGTCCACTTTCTGAGCTGTTACCTGTTCATGAGTGAAAACCAACGGCCAAAAAGGGGTCCCGTTTTGCGTTTTCTTGACGGATTTTTCTGCTTTTTTTCGCTACTGGCGTACCATTGAGCACCACCACGTCACACTAACCCTTCTTGAATTTACCGTAAGCGCTGTCTTTAACACAGTGAGAAGTCGGCCTCAGCAGTAGCGGCATTCGAATGGAGCATTGTAGATCACCTGTGCTGGCACTTAGTGGTTAGGAACGTGGGCTTTGGATTTTGAGGTCAATGGTTTCTGATCCTCCCTACTTTTCCTTTTGCGTTTTTGTGGCTGACCTTTTGTCAGTAGTGAAGCATAACTCTTGTATAATGTCACCCTTACTCGCTTTCTGATAAGCTTCAGGGCTGCATGTCCACAAGAGATTTTGAGCAATTATCGAAAATGTGGGAGAGTCTTTGATGCTACATCCCCCTAGCCGGTAGTTCCAGGGTTGACCTATCTTGAACGACGGCGACCCTTTAAATTTGAAAATAATAAAATGTGGGTGTTGAAATCATGCGAACAGAAAACCAGACACTGTTTTACGCTCTTCAGGAAACATGGAAAAGACTTACTTCTTCCATAGTCTTTGACGGTAGATTGATGGATGAATAGATAAAGAATAGAATAGAATAGAACAACTTTATTCCGAAACGGTCGAAATCTCAAATTTGGCTACAAACTTGTCCTAGGGGTATTTAAACTCCGGAACACGAATATCACACTTGTTTGCTGCAAAAACGTCTGCCAAGAGTTCTGTGGGCTCCATGTGCAGTCTTTAGTAAGTACCGCCGAAACTGATTAGAAACTCCTCGCAAAGTCTTTGCACGGGTAACTACAGGCAAGCATTGATCGAGTAAGGTAGTTGGGAGCCTTTTTCATCATTTTGCAGCGAAGGCAAAAAAGAGAACCCGCCAGGGAATCGATCCTACGACGTCTCGCACGTGAACCCGGACTACTACCGCTGCACTACTTTCCTTCATAACTCCATTCGGAAAATCGTTTGGCAGATTTGGAAAGCAGATTCGAGATCAGCGTCCAAACGCATCCAGCGGTGTAGGTCTCATTGCATATGGCCACTTCGACCCATCCTTTCCTGGTCAGAGACATGGGATTTCGTCTCGTCTCTGCCAGCGCGGATGCATACTTGAGCGGATCTATTAGTTAGGAGACAATTTCAAAAAGGGCATCTTCGCGGCGCAATTATGTCCTGCCACCGCTGCTCCGGTCCGATTTCCATGCACTGGTTGGCGTAATCGAATGATTTTCTTTCTACATTGGCTTCTCTCAATCTGAAGCTAGAGGACGAAGTTTGGAGCTCTTCTCCATGCTACATCACACATAATTCGGTGTGCTTGGCACACTCTCTATTCGACATTTTTCCAAGGAACCCCCTTAGGGAGTTCAGAAACAACTCATTGGTGGCTGTATAAGAATATCCAGCAGTGTATTATTAATTCAGCAATAAATCGAGAACTGCCAAAATCATGAGTTTATACGGAATCCAGCTGTTGAATTGAAGAAAGTGGAGTAGAAATCATTTTTAGACTGCTTTGTTCAGATGCATTATTTCACATACTTCAATCGGACTGATGCTGAATTGCATGGCTATTGGAAAGCTTGCAAGGTACTGCTCATCACGGAAATTGCTTTGCTGCTAATAAGGTTGGTGATGAGATCCACGTAAGACTACTTTTTGCACCTTCCCTCCTTCTTTCGAATTTTTCAAAATCGTGCGCAAAAATATCAGAACCCCTACCGATTTCCGTAGGTGTTGACAAGATCGATCCATTCACTTTGTCCTAGAAACCATTACTATTGTGAGTTAATGAACATTGTTCGCCAGTGATGAAAAACGCAAACTTTCCTGGGGCGAGGTGTTTCTTTCACAACTGTGCATTCTTCTAATTTTTTTTGATGTTTCCAGCCACATCTACTATATCATGACTACCTACATGATGGTAAAGGGGATGCGTTATCAGAAGAATCTTCGAATTCTTTGGGTCATGTGTAGCATCCAGTATTTATTCAGCATTATGGATCGGGTTCTTCAAATTGGAATTACGCTTTTTGATATCGAAGGTAAACAAAGTTCCAATTTTGACTTCTCATATAGCACAAAAAAGGTTTCTTGACTGCTATTTTCAGTAAAGTAAACAAAACCTGGTTTCAAAGATTACAGAGAACTTCACGATCTTCTTTACTAAAAGGAATCGATATAAAAGTTTGAGATACGAAGAACTATCCGAATTGTCTCATAATTTCGATGGAAATTTAATTCAGCTACCGCTATGTGAAATCGCTATTGATAAAAGTCGTCCTGCAAGCGGTTGTAACCAGCTTTTGCAATGCTAAAAGGTGAAAGTAGGGTACCAGCTTGAGCGTCTGTGAAAAAGAAGCTAAAGGGATTTTAAGAAACTCAGAGAGGGAGGCTTTCAATTGGGAGTGGATGATTTTGCTCCTAGCGCAGAGACGTTTGGAAGAGCTAGAAAAAGACTACATGTCGACACCGATAGATGAGCAGTTACTGCGTTGATGAAAGCGAAAGAAACAAAATCAGAGAAATTCGCAATCCACGAAAGAGTGGGGAGAGTCATTCAGTCAAACCGGGCTAGATTGTGAGCCCTCTTACAGTGGTTGTTAAACATTCGTCAGAGAATTCTGTCAGGCATATGGAATCCAGAAGAGAACTGAACTTTTTGCGTTTCGGTTGCGGAATCGAAAAAAAGTAGGAAAAGCAACCGATTGTCAAAGGGTGTTCAAGAATCCAACCCTAAAAAACTTAGTTTCTCTAATGACAACGTTTTGAGTGCACTAAGGAACCATGAGACCACGATTCGACGGAAAATGAGTAGAGCACATTTGAAAGGAAGAAATCATCGCAGAAATCGAGGCCAACTCTCCCACAATGTGTGCATGCTGAACCAGCTCATTAAGTTCGTCTTCCAACTGTCTGTCTACACTTCTTCAATTTTTTTCCATGGATGTGCTTGGCAAAAGAGAGAGAAAACTCATATTGCAAAAGTGAGAACAGCAGAGAAGTGTAGACGCAGAAAAAAGTTCAACGCAACCGAAATGACTTCGCCTCGGCCAGTTCGATCACTGACTTTGGGAAATTTTTCTTGATTTTTGCAATGTTTTCAAATATGCCCTACTCATTTTCTGTCAGATGGTCCCATAGTTCCTTTAACACACGCTAATTGGTTTGTCTGTTCGCAGAAAACTTGTTATTTTTGAAGGCTTGGATTCCTGAGTACCCCTTGACAGAATCGGTTGCTTTCTCTGCAACGCAACGGTTATCACAACCGAAACGCGTCGAAGAAGGTTCAGCTCTCTCTAGGATTTCATATGCTGCAGGATTCTTGACGAAATGCTCAACAACCACATAAGCGGGGCTCAAATCACGCGCGGTTTGACTGCATGGCAAATCTCCCCACTCTTTTGTAGATTTCGCCTTTTTTTCTGAGTCCGACAGCGGTGTTACTTCCGTCATCACCTAAGAAAGAGGAAGTGGAAACAACCTGACAGTTACGCCAAATAACAATGAAGTTCAACCGAGAAACATGGGGTGGATTTATATTTTTGCACAATCGGCAAAGTGGCCCTTTCTGAAAAATGAAAATAAAAAATTTTCGTGTTTTCGAAATGGAAGTTGGTGTTTACACTCGAAATTATATTTATATTGAGCACATTTTTCTTTCAAAGGCTTTTTCAGAAACACCCTATCATGCGAATTTTCAAGAACTTTCCAGGTGGATTATATTTTTGCAAAGCAGTGTATTTCAACTACATTGCCTTGTTTTTCTTGAACGAAGGAGTTGCAAGCTCAAACTGGGCTTTGTCGCGTCCACCATGGGGCACCTTCGGTCGCAAAAATACCAGCTATCGCATGAACGTGCCCTCGACTAGCCTCTCCACTACCCATCCCCACCTTCATGAATATCAATTTTTCGCGATAATGTCTTCAAACTAGCACTCCATGGAGGAAACGTAACAAGCGTGGTACGACTAGACCAGACACCTGCAGCGGGCAGCCTCAAAAACCTTCGCGACCCGAGACACAAGAGGCACTCCTTCCCTCTCCTCTATAACAGCACTCACTAGCCCGACGTGAAAAAGCGCGGTTGGATGAAATACCGTTCTTTCCTCCGAGTTTCTTGGAACCCTTGCATGGACCTGAAAAGAACAATTTTTTCTTTAAATACCTTTTTAGGAAGTCATCCTTCATTGGCTTTTGTGTACTCATCGTATATGAGAGCGTTCTGCATACATATAGGTTTGTTGATTTATACTGATTCATTTTTTGTTATTTTTTTGAAGGTTTGGGATTCCTTTCTGCCTTTTGTGGCCCAACCGCACGTTGTTCCCATTCCATGAATTTGATGGCCGTCCCTCTCGTAGGGGGTTTCGATGCGACTCCTTACCTCATTAGCATGGCTGTTTCTCCCGTGTTTGTTTCTGAGACCAATCGACTAGAACCAACTATGCCGGTTTTCGGGGAAAAGGGACGGAGGGGCAGAATGTGTCTAGCGGAACCGCGAATCCTCTGACTTTGATACCTTATCCTTACTTTTGCAAATTTTATTCCCAAAATTTCTAAAACTTCCAAGAACTCCGTCAAGTACCCCCTTTCCTGCATTGTACCATCTCTCACATTCCAGAAATCCCTCCTTCTCAACCTTGTACCGTTCGCCAACACCGACTACGACCCCTTCAAAGAATTTTATACAACCTCCAAAAAGTTCTATTAATACGACTCCTCCCCTCGTTAGGGACTGCACAACGCGCTGATGATCCTGTGCACGACCTTCTTCCCAACTTTCTCCGCAAGGACTCCCTCTGATGTTCTCAAATACGATCCTCCCTGTTGAAACAACCATCAACACACAAAAACCAAAATATGGTTCCCATTAGGGCTTGATAGAGTGGATGGTTGCTTCAGTTCTAGAGGGATCACAATTCTGAAAGTTCACTCATTCATCTGTTCACTTTTAAACGCAGTACGACGACGCGTAACTACTGCGCTTTGAAAATACTCATTCACGTATTATCTGCCGAATTATCTGCCGAATAACCTACGCATTCGCCGTCGATGGCTTCGTTCTTGTTTTTTTCTCGGAAGTGAGGGGAGCGCGGTTCCGTAGATTCCCGTAATATGCTACAAAAATTATTAAATACTCCCATTAAATGAAGAGTACCTGTCAATACGACTGCATCACTCCAGCATTCTACTCTCTACCTGTTTGCGTTATGGAACGATGCTTCGCCACCTATTTTCTCGATGATTATGAGAAGAAACAACGCGCATATTTGGGATATGCACTTGCTTTTCTTCTGTTGGCTATGGCGGCGTCCTCGTCATATATTTATCATGCAGGTGCAGCTATGATGTATAGCGTGTTTTTGTTTTTCGTTCCAGTTTTTTTGGAAGATTAAAGCGCAAACTTTTTCTTGTTTCTTGTGGGAATGCTACTATTTTTCTCCACTTTTTTCCTTGAGCTTTTGGGTCCCTGATGTGTAACCCTCAGTAAAAAAGGTATTCAACTCAGAATGAAACTTACATGGTTAATTCAAATATAAATGAAAAGCAATTGTGAAAAACGTGTATAGAAAGGGCCGCGCCGGCAAATTGATCACGGTTCCGACCACAAAACAAGTACCACGAAACCAGTGGTATTTTGAGCTCAACGTGTAATCTGAAGTGGACTCTTGATTACTGAAATTCGCTGATGAATGTGTAAGCAGTTTTGAGCATAATTTCATGCACACACTGAAAAGCCACAATGAGTAGGTGGGAAAATCGGGGGGTATGGACGCCATTAGAGGGTTTGATTTGTTTGTTATGTTGATGTTGGTGTAGCTTGAATGTCCAAATGCTACACATTAATTTAATACTTAATACTCTGACCGTAAAATCTCAACTGAATGCGACATCAGCGCAACGAGAAGTTTGTTGACGTGGGCGCCATGGGTTACATGAATTTCTTGTTTCCCACCCCCTGTATGATGGTGGCCGAATTATCACACGTCGTTCTATGTGTTCTGTTACTGTATTAATATTGTAAATTGCGACATCACTACACTTCAATCTAAAGGGCCAACCCAGGCAGAATCGGTGAACTTGTATTCTTATAGGCTCCGGCCATATAGACCACTAAGGGCAATTTACCAAATAAGGCGTTCTCGTGCACGGAAACAAAACCGATAAGAACGCTCGGGCCTTGCAAAGTAAGCTGCCCAAGCTGCAGACTTTTTTTTCTTATCAGACTGTTGTCTGGCGCTCTCATCTGTAGTGCTCTCTCCCCCATACTCTCCTCTCCGCGCTTAGTCTCTCATTCCCTTAGCACAGCCGATTAGGAAGGTGAGTGAGCCCTTAACCTAAGCGTTTTTGACGGATTCTTTTCCTTTTTTTTACTGCCGGCCCACTTCCCACCAATATATTCGCATTTGAGTAAGCAAGCCTCACCAATGTGATGCTGGGGCATGCCTTTAAGCTAAAAAAGATAAGCGTTGCAGTGGTCAATTGAACATAGTCAAAAAGTGGCAAAGTTAAGATAGAGTTTATATTGGGCTTACATGACAACGCGACTTTTTTTCAACAAATGTGGGTTTAGAACTTTAGGGAATTATTTTCGCAAAAAGTAGTTTATGAGGTGAAGCAAAAATTTGTCTCACAGCGTAGTTATGTAAAATTATGTAACAGCCATAGAAACGACAACTAGCTCTATACTCTTATCTCTCTTCCGACGAACATTAATAATGATTTACCTCTACTTACCCCATGACCTCTTCTAAACATTCCACTCTTAGGTTGCCGAAAAAGCTTTGCCGTTTTTCTTTTCGAATTGGCTGACGGATAAGCCATAGCAATTTTCAAATTAAAATTGTTCCTCGTAAACGTCATTGTTTCATATCGAGTGGTGTTCCTTTTGTGAGCACTTCTTCTGCTCTATTTGTTTTGTTTTTATGTTTGTTGGGAATTAGTTCGAATTTTAGGTGTTTAGGAATAAGGTGTTTGTCCACGAAAGTGACCGCATTTCTTTGAAAAAAATTATCCCTGAGAAGATGAGAAAATCAACCAGGCGTACATTCCTAACTTAGTCATGACTTCTTCTTTAAATTCTACTACATATTTTTCAATGTTCCGGCTGTAAAAAATTTCGACCTCGACCGAGACCTCAGGTAATGGTGCCTCACCGTCGAGTTCTGGTTGAAAAACCAGGTCTGGAAATGGAACGACGCGACTTGTTGGGAAACCTAATAGTGTAATGTTAGAAGAGGTCATGCATAAGTAGAGGGTACATCATTGATTGATTTCTCCCAAGGGAAGATAAAGTTAGAGCTAGTTGTCGGTTTGGTCAATTTTTGTCGGCTGGACCTCCCATTTCGCAGGCCTAAAATTTGAAAACCCTGGAACAGAGGTGGAAGGAAAACACAGCATCTTGTAGAGCAGACAATTCTCTTTCGAATGGTATATAAAGCGATGTAAAAGCATGGGAATTTAGATTAAAAAAATTGGTTGAAGAAAAAGCGACATTATTTATGAGAACCTAATAAATTAGGTGTACTTGCTGTCGATGTCATTTTTAGCTTCAAAATGTTGAATTTCAGGAAACTCTACAACTGGTCTTTTCGTAGCTGTTATGCTCCTAAACAACGTAGGGATTCTCGTGAGTCCTACTTAACACTCTTCTTACATACACGAATGTTAGAGGGAAAATCCACGTTTAGGAGATATATCAAGAGTTATCCCTCCTATTATATAAACTTGTTCACTTGGTGGCATGTGGCACACCACTAAATTTTGTTAATCGTATATCAGTTCTGTGTTGTGGATTAACTAGTGCCAAAAAGCGATTATCCACCCGCCTGCGGGAATCCCAGGTCTACTTCGGCTCATTGGTAATTTTTTTGCCGCCAATTATATTCCGCGTGCGGAAAAAGGAAAAAGTGGGAAGTCGCGCCTCCGTCCTAGTTAACCACACCCTTGGTCAATGCACACCTAACATACAAACTAGCAGTTAATTATATCAAAGTCATTATCTCAAATGTGAGGCTGTCTTAAATGTGAGGCTCCATGAGGGAGGAGGCGGTCTTCGATTATAATAAACCAATAGGTGAATGTAAATAAACAAAAAAGCTGTAAAACTTTCTCGTATATTTGAGAGATGACATGCTCTTCTCAAAATGTGGCACTGTAACAAACCAACAAATACCTGCATCAGCCGGCTATGATGCCCTTCGCCACCGTGGGGTCATAGGCGCTTGCCGAAACTCCGAAACTATCGACTATTACACTATTATTTATTTGTTTATATTTATCAATCATTTGTAAACTATATATATGCGTTTGTTATTTTATTTATTATATATTGTGTTATTGCTCATTGTTGTTTATTTATATGTATATTATTATTACACTTGCGCTTACTATATTGTTGCGA